GTGTCGCTCCGATCTGCCGGCGCATCGCGAAGAAAACCAATCGGGTGTCTGGATGCTAAATGTTTATACATCTCATCCAAACACAATCACATTCACTCCGTCCGCATAGCGCCATTTATCTAGATGGGTTTTTTGTCTTTTCACTGTTTTTAAAATGTAAGGAGTAAAAAGTGCAGATATTTGCGTGAAAATGTAAGGAGTAGAAGTAAAAAGTCGTTGTGAAAAATAAATACTCCAGTAAAGTATAGATACCCAAAATTTCTACTTAAGTACAGTAACGAAGTATTTGTACTTCGTTACTTGACACGTCTGGTGCAGATCTACTTCACCTTATAGAACCTTTCAATTCTCACTTTATGCAATGATCCTTTGCAGATTTGATCAGCATCTTACAGTCCAGGAAGTCGGATAGTGGCCCGGAGTCCTTAAGTTTGATTTGGTTTGACGAATGCCGGAGATACTCTGTTTTGTTTCGTTGGTTTATTAAAACTTCTACAAAGACACCCTCTGCCTCTTGACTACTGCGCTGCCATTTATTCGGAATCCTTCGTGCCATGCTGTTACGGTATATTTACAGTATATATTTTATATATTTATATACTAATTTGATGGCAAGTGGTACAACGACGCAGTAGAAATGGAGGTTAAATGCCCCATTTGATGCTAGCAACAGAAAAATGCATTGGGACAAGCTTCACCTCTATTTTAATGTATATAGGCCTATTTGTTTGAGAAGTTAGCTGTTCAATAAGGCAATGCTATCTCAAGGGAAGACTTTAGCCAAGGGTGCTGCAGTACAAATTTACCAACAAGAGCAAGACACACTGGCTAATATATGTGGGTTTTTTTTTACGTTACTTGTAACCCCTCTAAATACCCTATTCAACTAATGATACACTTGGCCAGCCAGCCAGGTTAGCTTTGGCTGACCAAATTACTGGCTAACCTTCCTGGTGTTGGTAGTTGGCCAGTTAGCTGCGCATGCTAACATATTAAGCCCAGGCAGGACACACATAACCCATTCCTTACTTTAGCTGTGCTCTTAGTTGTGTAACATGGCTCTTAAGATATCACAATTAATACACAACTGTGAAAACCACGAGTCGGTGAAAATAGCACTCATATAGAGTGACATATTCAAAGCACAGGCCCAGCCCGAGCTAGTAGCTGTGGGTCAACACACAATATCATAGCCTTCATACCAGACATCATACCTTCTATGCCCTGCAGTGCTAATTTAATCTTTGTTACTATGATGTTCAACATGCAGACAGAACACACATAGGCCTATATATGACGTGACTTCGGGCCATTCTACCAAAAACAGATTTCCTTGTTATTTTCCATCAAATTAAATCCATTTTATTTAGTGACATCGCAATTTGTGCGTGACACTAATGCAATTTTATTTCAGAATTTAAAATCGGTGTGGGATTGGGATCGTCCACCTCAGTGTCTTTGATGTTGCAGGATCTCCCATTTTTGTGGTCAGATTTATATTTGAAAGGACAATCCGTTCCACTTTCGGCCTCCTTTCGAAGGGGGCAAAAGTGATCTTAAAACTTACAGTGTTGATTGATTTTAATGAGACTACGACCTTTCAAGGAAACCCAACAATAAGTGGGATGGCTGATTTAAACAGAATCCATATCAAAGAAGCCCCGGGTTGCAACAGTGAACGCAGCTCACCGCAAGAAGATGAGAAACTCATTATTCTGTGATTCTGTGACTTGCACAGAAAGTCTAATGCAGAGAGAACTGGAGAGAAAAGAGAAGGGGGGAGGGGGTGGGGGGGCGTCAGCAGAGAAAACAAGTGCGAAAGAGAGATTTTAAATGATCAAGATTCTAGTCGCAAAACATTAGGGTTTATGGTTGGGATTTTTACTTGGAGCAAACAAGACTCCGCAACTCTTCCAGCTGCCAAGCATGTTGCATCATGAAAACAATAAAGCCTCAGAGGGACGTGTTGAACAGTAGGAGGGATGGGAACAGCATCAAACCATGCATCCAACTGTTCTGTGCACTGCAATTGCAGATTTTTTAGCAGAACAATTCACTTTACAGACTACATATGTTGTTCTGCAGGTTTATGTCTCCATATCTCAGGCATTAATAAGCTATACAGGTGATAATGAATGATAACAACGTAGCAGAATATAATTTAAATTAGGCTGCTGCTGTGATCCTCGTGTGCATCAGAGCACACAGCTCAGCTCGAATAGGAATACAAATGGCCTTTTCTGCATTAATCCCAGACAAAGAGATTGAATTGCAAATGCACTAAATAACTGTTAAAGGTTTTGAATGACAATCTGTTTTTTCCCCTCCTCTACTGCCTTTTTTAACACAAATAATTGATTTAAACTATTTCAGTGCATTGACCACGCTGTCATGTTGTGTATGTGAGGGACACTTTATTGACAGACCCACTCCTCCTTTTTTAGGAGAAGCATCTGATTGAACAGGACAATGTTTTTGAGGTCCATTGTACCTGGTTTTTCACTACATATTCTAACGAGGCTGAAAGTCAACAGCTTTGATGCTCTGTGCTTTCAGCCAAATGCATTATAATCTGCTCACAATTATTACTTAAATTGAGCAGTATTTGCATTAATTGCTGTAAAAGTTACTACAGTTGAAGCTGTTGTCAATATTGTTAGAAAAAAGATTTCACCATTTTATTCAATTTAATTTATTGTTTTTTTAACCTCCAGACTTAATGATCTTTAATTATGCAGATCCAATCTACGTGAGCATGGCAACCAAGGATAACTTCTTTAACAATTAAACAGCACATATTTTGTTTTAAATCTGTAACAGCTGATAAATCATCTGCATCAGCGGACCTCATTTGACCTAGTGTGAATGTCACTGTGTGTGTTTTTCTGCCCCGGGTCTGCAGTTTAGAGATTCTACACCTTCTTGAATGATGACACGGGTCAGCCGAGCTTCTATATTCGTTCTACGCAGAACAGCACCCCCACGGCGGCTATTTAAAGCAAACTAGATCTCTGTCTACACATTACATAACGCACATGAAAGGATGTACTTAACTTCCATCTTGTATCACTGACATGTTAAGCGGTCGAAGTGTGATTCAATATCAGCTGTTAAAGAGTCTGTTGCTGCTTATAAGCATAATCTTTTATTGAGGGTGTCATCTGAAGGTCTTTTAGGAGTTGCTGACCCTTAATGGTCATTTAAATCTCCATTGAATGGAATAAATATTCATTTGTTCAGATCACCTATGATCATCGCCATGTGTGCATGCTTCAACGGGTGTGCAGCTATGTGTCTGTCCATGGCTAATTCAAATTCTGCTGCAGCAAACTGCACAATATTTTGGAACTCACTTTTAGTATTTGGAACAGTGAATTTTGGTGCGTCAGCGTACAGCTTAGCCCACGGCTAACAGCCAACAGAAATACCAGTGCAAATACTGCTGAATCACTACTCTGCAGCCAGAGATACGGTGTTGGGGTTATAGTTTGCCTCCACCCAAGTTATTGTTTTGGGCAACGCGTTTGCCAAAAAGAAAGAAATAGAAGAAAAAACAGAACGATCAGCAGACACACGCTGCTAGGTACATTGCCGCCAGCCACTGCAACGGGAGAAGGCGTCACTAGAATAATTAATTTTCTTGCAAGTTCACATTTAATGTCCTGTATGCTGTCCTGCAAACATTGGTGTTTGTTTTTGAGTTGAAATGAATCGTGTTTTTAGCTGCCATTAGTATCTAGACCTTTTGGTTTAGTTTTTTTTAACAAGTCCTGAGGTTGCATCAAGTTCATCACCTTTGATATTGTAGCCTAGTGTATACATCACTATTAGGCATCTTTTCAGCAGATATTTCTGCTAATATATAATATTTCAATTTAATCCAGACTGATTTTAATTTAGATTTCAGGGGGTAGGGGGCAGGTTTCCAGATTATCAACTGAAATCAGCATTTACTTCGGGAAAAAGTATTTTAAAAAATGTGACTTTCAACCATTTGATGACAAAGAGAAAATGAAAATCATAAAATGTGATGAAGTGAATTAGGCAAAAAGCAGCAGCTAATGGTGATATTTTCCTTTAAACGGACACTTAAATCTGCTCACGTCTTCTCGGATGATTTGATTCCACACCTGCCAACTTTTATTCCCTTCCCTTCTAACCAGGCAATATCCTGGTAATGTTCTGTCTGGCTTTTGAGCGGCGACATAAACTCACACTAGCTGGGTTTTTTTTCACATGATTTGTCATGTAAGGTACTTTATGAAGGGACAATAACATTTTAAAAGATATACCCACACAGTTTTGTTTAATCATTTGAGGGTTGAATACTGATTTGGTTAAACACATTACATACCCTGGGCATTTCTGTTGTGTCAAGATTTCTTGAAAGTGAAATCAGGGCAAGGGGTAAATGTTTGCTAAAAGGCTAATCGCTACTCCAAAAGAGAAACAGAAAATGTTGAGGCAGGTATAGGCACCACAAAGCGACCTGAGAGTCTAAGCTCAGTATGCATTTAAAAGAATAACCATTTAAATCCAATATGCGTAAATTGAGCCTAGTCATTGACAGATATACGCATACACTTTCTGAGAGCACAGTTCTATTTAATAAAGGTCCGTCATACGTCATTTTGGTCATGTTTTGGTGGTGGGCGTGCATTGCTTTGATTGGAAATCATTTTAGGGTGTGTCTTATGCAGTGGTTAGTTTTGACAGGAAACACGTGACTGTAGGAGGAGTCTCAACATATATATAGGTGTGTTATTCGCCATCAACTTCATTCTGGACTCATCCTCTGTTGCTGTTGTTGCTGTTGCTCAATGCATCTACTCGAAGGCTTTTTGTACACTGACATTACTCTGATATTACTCCCTTCCCACACTGACATTCTAGTAGTAGTATTTGTTTTAGTACTGCAGGTCTGCATGAAGCAGCATTGAGAAGAAATCTTTAATTATGCTAAATATTCTTTGCTTAAAGAAAGAAGGACCAACCTTAGCGACGTTTTCATTGAATGCTTTTATTTCTGAGCTACTACAGACAGTTTTCAATTTCAAATGTTTAATGCAGAAAGAAAGCTTGTGAAGCTGAAGGGAGACAAAAAAAAAGTCAACTCATCATGGAGAAGTGAATCATGTAGACATGCAAACTATTGATTTGGATCATTATCAGGAAGTGAACATTTCACAGAGTATAAATGCATTAAGGCTTTAAGCATTAAAGCGGATTTAGCTGTCAGGTCAACAATGGGCCGACAACTGAGATCCAATGTTAAACAATTACAGGAACTCAGCCACTGCAGGAGGTGGTACTTGCTTTTTGTTTGACAAACTCCTGAAAGTGTACAGGAAGGCACTTGTTTTCAACTTTATTACAAGCCACAACTACCTGATATTTTTCACGGCGACAAACTGTAACCTTACACTTGTCTTCGACTTTCAAATGATACATAATCATCTTCTGAGTACTGATGCATAGGTTGTTCTGCTTTGGCTGGTAGATGTCCTGTACACGGCGACCATTGACACCACAGATCGCCTCAACGTTTATCTGATCGGTCGGCTCGAGGAAGGACTGCTCCGCTCTGTTGCAGAGGCCTTTATCCTCTATGTACCTGTGTAAAACATTGTTGTTTCACTGCAAAGTAGTGGCTATTTACAATGTAGTTTAATAACTTTGATATATGTGTATTGAGAAGGAAAATACATTTTTAAAACAATGTTTTAAGTATGAACGGCTTTAAGTAGAGTTGACTTAGATCGTTCACTCACCTCTTCCATTGAACCCTTGATGTTCTGTCAAATTGCTTGTGAACGAAGTGTTTCTTCACAAAGTCCTTGTACTCCTGTTGGTCACTTTTTGACGTACAGGATTGATTTTTCCCCAGATGGAGGAGAGCGAACATAACGGTGATGACCAGAAGAATGTTCATCTCGTCTATGGGAAAGAGAAGGAGAGTTTTAGAGCATTCTACTCTTCATCCACTGAGTGCAAAACCAAAGTATCTAAAGTAATCATTATTAACAGAGTACTGTACATTAAGGTTATTAATTTAAGATCAGTAGTAGTAGTTTAAGATTGTAATGATCATCTTCTTTCTCACCTGTGCTGATCAGCAGGCTCTGTACTGTAGATGTTGCTCTGTTGAGTCTGCAGCAGGATCCACTAACTGATGTTCAAGTCTGATAAAAACCCAACAATATTACACCTTTTTAAACCCACTCATCTTGCGAAAATTCATCATGACCAAACATCATGACAGCCAATGGCAGTACTGCAATCTACTCTTTGACCATATACAGCTATATATTCTGACATTCAACTGCAAAACAATGAACCTCCAATTCTATAAATGGGGAAGTGAACTCTTGCATTTACATTTTTATCAGACTTGAACATCAGTTAGTGATTTCCTGGCGCAGCATATTCAAGTTTGTGCAAATGCTCGCTCATTTAGTTTTATGTGACTAAATGTTAATTCACCTACACATATTTGTGGCTCTTTACATTCACATATCAATCTTTTTCGGTTATGGGAAGTTTATAACGGACCTTAAGATAACATGGTGACATAAAAGTAAATGCGATATAACTTATTTATGATCATTCTTTGTGAGGAAAACTCAAATCCAGATTGCTGAGAAAGAGAAAAAAGGAGAGAAAAGATAAAGTAGAAAGTTTCTGCAGCATAGAAAGCACACAGTAAAGCTGACACATTTCATGGATGTCCCTTCGCCTGCACTGGGGAATACAGGCTGGTATCAAACCTCGCCTTGGGCTGGAACCTTTGTTCTCTGATATCAAACCCGCTGTATGGGATCAAAATCCAAGAGTAACATTGAAATTCAACCAAAATAGCAGCAGTGGCCTTTATAATAAATGTTTCCCGAGCAAGACCACCCCTTTTAATTTCAAATGCACTATTTCAAGACACACTAGATCGCAGAGGAAACGGGGGGTTGAGGGGGGGGGGATTGAATCAATGCCCACTTTGAAAATAGAGCAAAAATGTTCTACTTTGCCTCAATTCCACCAGGCATGATAGTGATGTGGCCATGTGTGTGTGTGTGTGTGTGTGTGTGTGTGTGTGTGTGCATGTATGTGTGGTGTATGGGAGGAGTGTGCATGAAGAGCACGCTGTGTCTTGTAGTGAATTGTAGCAGATTCTTCCCAGGAGGGGACGTGAGGATGAACCAAAGGGAACGTGAAGGAGGATGGGAGGGGGGGTTGTTGGTAGCTAAGAAGCTGACAGAAACATTATTCAAATGAAGCTTCCCTGCTTTCTTTTTTTCTGTCTTCCCCCTGTCGCACACTAAAACCCTGACATTTAGTCGCAGCGAGAGAGCTGAGACAATTCATAAGGACTTTCCACCTTGCTCGTCTTTGGCCCTCATGGCATCGAAGGTCCCTGAGTCGTCCTGCGGAATTACATGCACCTCAGCCCCCCCGACTCAGGGGCCTCCGCTGTTTATGAATCAAATATTGGATTTGGAACGACTCCTGTCCTCGCTGCTGCCAACCACCGTCCAACAATAGAAAGGTCACAGTGAAGCCGGCTTATCAGTGCGGCTACAAGGCCTGTCCACTTGCAGCATGCTGGGCCCGGGCGCTGCTGGTGTTGATAGTGCTCAAAAGAAAGAGGGAGAGGGTGATGGGGGAAGGGACGGAGGGGGAAAATGGATGAGGAGAGAAAAGCAGCGAGAGTAAGACATGGGTGGGGGGAGCATTCAGCAAATCTGTCGCCTGGACATATTGTGCTTTGATGGGTTGGCTTTCATTTTTACTGCCGTTTTTCTTTGCTGCGAAGGAGCAGTATTAAAGTCTTCAATCTTTAGCTGATATTACAGGACAGATTGTGATAAACAGCAGCGCGCCTTCCCGGGCCCTTTCTCACTGAACATCTGTTGGAGCGTTGCACGGTGACAAAAGCAATGTCATTATAACGTACCACCTAAACCTACAAACCACACAGCACCTCATGGGCTCTTTGAAAATGGGTGTTGCTTTGGCAGACGTACAGACAGGCAGGCAGAGAGTGTGTGTGTGTGTGTGTGTGTGTGTGTGTGTGTGTGTGTGTGTGTGTCTGTGTGTGTGAGGAGGATGCACATCGCAGTGTGTATGAGTGTGTTTTTAGGAGCCTACAAAATCCCATGCGAATGCTGTTGAGACCTTTACGTGTTGCACAAGGAAATTACAGCTCAGTCCTGCACATTTAAGTGGGCTGAATCGTGTTTTCACAGATATAGGTTGACGTTACACAATGGGACACACCAGTATTTCAACACCTGTGCGCCATGTTGCTTTACTGATCCATAGCATGAAGTAGGGGACTTCATAAAAGTGGCACTACCATGATAAACATCACAGTCCACGGTTACCTACGGTCCCAGGCAGCCTAAGCTGTCCTTTTGGAAATGGTGGGTGATCACCACTATATTTATTATTCATGTGCAGTTTAACGACGAAGACAGTTTGCAGTTTGGGGTTAGTTGTATCTTGTGCTCAGTAAAAAATTAAAATAAACTAGACCATGAAGTAGCACTTGCTGAACCTCACATAACCTGTCCGACCGGGGATCTGGGGCAATAGGCAATGACTCCAGGCTAATGTTGCACAATCCAGGGGCCTCGTCAGCCCATGTGGCGCAACAGTGGAGAGAACGGCTTTCATAACTTCTTCAAAGGATCAAGGTGTGGGCCAACATTTACAGTCCCAGGCAAGTGATAACTTTGAGTCCCCTCCTTCAGGCCACAACTCTTTCAGAGAGAGCTACCTGGGCTCAGAGGTCAACATGTAGATGCACAATGTAATCTGCAGACAAACAGCCCAGCCCTCAGCAGAGTCATCAAGCTCAACATTGCAGAGTGTCTGATGGTTGGTGATTGAATGCGCATTACAGTTGATGAGTACCACGGCGGCAGTCATTGCCGCATACCACGCCCGGACCTGCTGTTTGCGATGATTAATTCCGCAAACACATTATTTGGAGAAAAAAAACACGCAGAGGAGGGTAACCGTCAAGGTTGTCGGACCGGTGGCTGGAGGCCAAGACTGGGAGACAGACGGACGAATGCGGGGAAAAGGGCCAGAGGAGGGAGAGAGAAAAAAAAAGACAGCACGGACGGAAAGAAAGACGTATGAGACCCCCGCAGTGAATGAGACTGCCTACTTATCAGCCGTGAGCGTGATGTGCAAACAGAGGCCTTTCAGGGCTGCCAGGCACACAATAGCTTTGTTTGCTGTGCAATAGAAACCAGTTGTTCGCTGCTGAGTCAATATTTACTGCCTAATGGAATGTGTGCTCTGCTACTACCCCTGCTCAACAACACCAGATTGGAAGAGGGACTCATTACCTCCCCTCGTCTGGCTTTCACCCCCCTGCCACCCTCTGTCCCTCTTCGTCCTTCCCTCCCTCTGCTTTATCTTACCCTTCCTATTGTATGGTCCTTTTACTTCCTTTACTCCCCCCTGCGTTCTTAGAGATTTCGCCCCCCCCCCTTCCCTTCTCTATTCTGTCCATCCCGTATCATATCTCTTTCATCTGCACCTCCCTTCTGAGTAAACACAGTAGGGGAAGCGCCATAGATGGTTCGAGACTGAAATCTAAGCTAAAACAAAAACAGGACATCCAGAATACTGTCGTTGTAGTAGTAAAACAAACAAGAGTAGTAGGTGAAAAAAAACTAAAATAAATAGCAAGAGTGGACAATCTTCTGTTCATGGAGGCCAATAACCCACCAAGGCTGCAGCTCTAACAGAGAGAGAGAGAGATAGCTTAGCGATGAGATCACTGTGCTGACAGAATGATCTCTTTGTGCTGGAGCCCGATGGTAGGCAGTAAATGCATCACATGTGGTATTTACACCGTTGCTGCTGATAAACAGCAGCTGATAACAATTTTCTTAAAGGTGCATGCAAAGCAAATGGATGTAAAAAAAAAACGCTCCCTGCTTTGCGTCGATTCAGCACCTGAATGTTGAACCATCAACCTTGCACACAAATGCACACCTTTGCCCAGGTGTGGCAGGATAACTGGAGGCATTACACACTTGTCCGAATCCATTTGATTTTTTCTTTTTTCAATCACCACTGCGACAATCCATCCCTTTCAGTCATGCTTCAGTATCGTTTCCCTACAGCTTCAAGGATTACTGAGGAGAGTACAGTTGTGGGAGTGATGGTGTGTGTAGGTATGTGTGTGTGTGTGTGTGTGCGTGACTGTGCTGTGTGTTTCAGACAACATGGCTATCCTTTCCAACTTCCTCAGTCGGTCGTGGGGGTGTCGTCGCTCCGTGTCGATTCCCCTCAAAAAGGTTCTTTGTGACCGTTTGATGCAGGATTACTGGATTAAGTGCAGGGTAGTTTGTACTAAATCTGCCACTTAAATCTGCTAACCAGTGTTTCAGATGTGACATACAACACGGATGGGCTGGTGACACGCAGAATTAGAGAGTCGGGTAACGTGTGACACAAAATCCTAATCTCCTCTCACGGTGAATCCGGGCCTCCATTTGCGTGCTCCAGAAAGTCCCGTTGAAGGTTGCTAAACACAATCTAAGAAACTGGAAGGGAAACTAAGGCATTGCAGGATTTGATTCAGCCCTAA